ATCAGTGGACTGAGGGCCTCCTGGGAACATTTGTTTCTGCTCTGGTCTAGGACATAACTCTGGCAGACAGCTTGATCATTTACGATTGCTCTATTTTAAGCAAAATGTCCTTGTGTGATTTATTCCCAATGACACCAACCTGCAGCAAGAATCTTCAGCTCGAAGGTCCGGTACTTCCTCCTAAACATCCTAAGCAGCTGTCTTTCATAGTCACTCCAGAAGCTGCTGGATCTGTGAATATTCTCTTCTCTCAACAAAAGGGAAGACTGGAGTCTTTCCTTCCAAGGCATAAACAAGGGAAGCATCTGTAGGGTCTTGGAGTGGGCGGGGGAGCTGTGAGGGTATATTTACTATTATTCTTGTCCCAGCTTCTAATTTCCCAGGGAAGGAGTTCAGAGGTATGTGGCAGACCTGTGACCATCAGGGTTGAAGGGATACATGTAGATGCCTGGTGAGCTCTTTGAGACAAATAATTTCTACACCTGTCAATACCATGTGTGAACAGGAACTGGAAAGCACCCAAGCATTGTTTATGTCTGTGGAAGGAAATGTTAGCTGGAAGAGGCAGGATCAGGGGCAGAGGTCATCTTCACTCAGTCAGCTCCTTTCCTGAGCCAGGATATGTTTGGGAAGAATCCAGGGCTTTCTGGCCGTGTTCTCTGCTTGTGAGTGACCTCATTGGCCCTGTTCTGTATCATAGGGCAACAGTCAGACTTTCAATAACCAGACATAGGTAGTAGCCAATCAGAAGTAAGAAGGGCTTTTTGGTGGAGATCTCTATATATTTAGCTAGCTGCTGGGTGATGGAGTGGAGGAGAGGATTTGGGGTAAGATCTGGGTGTGGGATGTGGCAAAGCTGCAGAAAGCTTTGAGTGTCTGTAAGTCACTTATTAGTACAGAGCTATTTCAATAGCGTAAGAGCTAATGTGGCCATGCTTCTGTTGAATGTCATTCCTGCTCTGCCCCTGACAGAGGGAGATGAAATCCTCCTGCTTTATGTGCTTCTGAGCCACTCAAAGGAGCTTGTTAAAAACTTAAAAGTGTCTGCTTTTCATCTAAAGACCGCCAAATATGACTCCCAAGGTTCCAGATTAAGACCACTATACTAGACTTGAGAATCTCAGGTCAACTAATCTTCAGTAATTTAGCTTGAACTTTGGAGGGATTTATGACTTAAGAGATGAAGTCCCAGGGGAACTGTGCCTAAAGCAAGCATGGATCATGTGCATGGGTGGAGAGGGCCTGTGGGATTGAATAGCTGACAGATCCCTGGCTATTTTATTGAAGCCACCTAGATCCTGGCCCAGCTATTTTAAGCTGCCAAAGTACCAGTTAGTAGACCTGGTGTGGATGGACATTCTGACTTTTCAAGAGATGTTGAGACTCAGAGTCATCGGGTCTGTTTCTTGACTCACAAAGTTGACACTACTTCAAGTTCTTCTGCTCCTAGAGCCCTGTCTTGGAGATGGGTGAAGGGTGGGGATGAGGGTGAGCCCACGTAAGAAAAGGTGATGGGCTCTGATGGAGGATCTTGATGCTTAGCTCCTTTTCTCAGTGTGGTACTCCGGTGGTTGTGGCTCACTGTCTCTTAGCTGTCCTCCCTTTTCCTCTAAACAAATCCTACCATTAATCCCTTTAGTGCTAGGGTCTGAGCCTGAAGCAATGGGACACCTTCCAGGGCCTGTGAGTCTTAGCTGGGAAATTCTCGTGTAACAGGTGAGCATTTTTACTTCAGACTTGGAGTGTTGGGTTCCTGGGATGTTCTATTGAGGAATAGATTTGTCAGTGGGACTTGGGTTGATTGTTACATTTAAGGCCAATTCCCGAAGCTTTCCATTTATTTGGAAGCCCGTTTCTCATTGCTCTTTCTTTCTGACTCTTGCTTTTCCTTCAGGACTCAAGATTGTGTTCTGACCTCAGAGACCAGGCTGTGTGGATTTTCTTTTAATGCTACAGTACTGGGCAGACTTTTGGTTTAAAAATTCCCATTTGAGATTTTAAGTTCTTGTTTTGTTTTGAGATAGGGTGTCACTATGTAGCCTTGGTTTTCCTGGAACTTGTTATATAGGCTAGGTTAGTCTTGAACCAACCTAGAGATCTATATAGAGATCCTCCTGTCTCTGCCTCCCCAAGTACTGGGATTAAAGGCCACCATGTCCAGCTAAACAAAACAAAACAAAGCAAAGCAAAGCAAAGCAAAGCAAAGCAAAGCAAAGCAAAGCAAAGCAAAGCAAAGCAAAGCAAAGCAAAGCAAAGCAAAACAAAACAACTAAGTCTAGCATTTGTAGGTGTTCATTAAGCATTAAGGGTTTTTTTTTTATTGTCCAGTGAGGCTGGCACTGTTACCCTATTTATGCAAAGGGATACCTTTCTGGTTGAATAAGATAGCCTTTCCAGAAAGTGATAAATGAAGACCTGGACTGTCAGGCAGAGCCTGCTGGCCTTCTCTGCAATTGGAGCCAAAATTGCTCTATGTTGCCTTCTGGCAATTGGGACTCATTTACTGTTCTGGAGTCAAGGGAGATCTTCAGGATTCATACACTACAGTTCTCAGGCAGGCTATGTTATTAGGTAATCTGGGTTCCCATCCTTGCCTGAGCCAGTTTGTAGCCAGTTTTCAAGCTTCCATTTCCTTGGCTCTATAATGGAATAGTTATAGTTGCCCTACAAAGTTTTGCAGGAAGTGCACCAAAGGATGAATGTACGGCTTTCGCTGCTGTGTCTAGCTAGCACAGAGGTGAATGTCAGACACATGTTAGCGGAATAAAGGAATGGAAGGTTCTCATGAAATCAACTTTTACTTAGAAATACCAGCCCATTGTGTTTAAGCACTCACAAAGCTCTACAAGATACAGGATGCTCTGGGAAGCATTTGGCTCTGGGAATGGATGAAAGGTTTGGTGCCATGGAGGTGGCAGTCCTTGGAACTATGCTCATTTCTTAGGGAAGTTATCCTGTAGAGATAATGTACAGCGAAAATTTTGTCTCATGTTCCATATTCATTTGCATTTCATAGGCATGTCCCTCTGTTGTCCTTTAAACAACCTGCTCGATAGCCACAAACATTAAAAAAAAATAACTGGACCTACTGTCATTGAAGAATGGGCTAAACATTCAGTTGGCTCATTATGCTGTGTGTCTGCCATGCTGGGTACAGCGTGGCTTGCTATACTTAATGAGAATGCTTTTCTGGGGTAAAGGTGAGGCATAGGTACTCATACTTGGTCAGATCACAGTGTCTTTCTGTCCTTGTGGGTATCCTACTTCTCCATCTGAATGGCTGTCCTGAGTTCAAGAAGGCAGAGTTGAGCATGCTGATTTCATGACATACGCATCTCACAGAAGTGCAGGAACAGCATGCTACTGTGGACTCCATCGCTTTCAAAACTCTGGCACATGTGTCGTATTCATTGGCAGGATTATGGTTTTGTTTTATTCTATTAATGTCTGGAAAAGCCTACAGATAATTCAGTTTGCCAAGTGTGTGGGTGGGTAAAGATGCATGTTCACAATCCAGAGACCTGAAAGAACTGTCTGTAGGAAATGTCTAATTAGACCTGTCTTTTTTTTTTTTTCAACGTAGCACCCAGCCTCAGCAGCAAATGGCATTTATGCGTCAAAGTGTCCACATTGATGGACATTCGATGAATGCTAAGTCACAACAATTACATTTAATGAGAACTAATGGGCTGTCTTAGATCGTGGCCCTGGCTCGAAGAGCTACCTCCCACCCTGTTCCCAAAAGGCTCCTCGCTGGACCTGCTCCTTCTAGCCCATCTGGATGGAGTCATCTAGTTTTGACCTTTTCTCCACGGCAGACTCTGGTCCTTTCCCACCTGTTGCCAGTGTAAACATTGCTTCTACCAGACTGGTTTATACTCTTCCCTGAGAATTTCACTCTTCCCTCCTTCCCACCCCTTCTCGTCTATATTTCTTTCATGCATGATTTGTCCTCTCTTCCTCCTATCTCCCTTTCTTCTCCAGCCTTCTCTGTCCACTTCCTTTGCTAACGGCTCGCCAAGAAGCACCCCTTTCTGCCCTCCCTCATTGCCCTATGAAGGAAACTAGTTCCCTGTTCTATATGATTAGGAACCATGGAGAACAAAAATTCTGGGATACAGAATAGAGATCTAATCCCACTGCCCATTCAAGGTCCCTTCAAGCACACTTTAAGAGGAAGGGTGAAAAGTCTATAATACCACAACTATCTCTTATCTGTCTATCCATGCTCCCTGCTTATCTACTGTGTAGAAATATATGGGAAGAATCAGGCCAAGAAGCTTAATGCATGATGATCTTTGGGCATTTGGTAGTCATCATTAGACTCTCTGGCCTTGGGGGCAGCAAACTCAGAAAGTCACTCTCTTCAGTTTCAGTGGGTTCTCAGAATGTTCAAAATGTCCATCTCATGCCATTCCCCCAAATTCTCCCTTTGCATCTGGAGTTGTGACTCTGTGGAGTGAAGAAGATATGGCCTCAGCAGATGGCAGAGAATGTTCTAGTGTGATGAGAAGAACTGCCACACACTGGCTGTTTTTTTAGGCTACAAAGATGTTTTATATTGAGCACATAGGAAGAGAGGCCAAACCCTGAATCCTGGAGGCACAGGTTTTGACACTTTCCTCATTCTTTGGCTTAAGCAGTGGGCTTTGCTGTATTTAACCACTAAGTTTAGAAACACACTGTTTGGTAGTGCTGCATGCTTTTAATCCCAGCACTAGGGAGGCAGGGGTGGGGGCGGGGGTGGGGGTGGGGGTAGAGGCAGAGACAGGCAGATCTCTGAGTTCAAGGACAGCCTGGTCTATAGAGTGATCCAGGACAGCCAAGGCTAAAAAGAAAGGAGAAGGCCAACCTGGAATTCCTGCCTTCCCATTACTGCAGGTTAAAAGGAACATTAAGGAGACTCAACCTTCAAAGAACAGTAGGCTGTCTGTAGTAGAGGCAGACTGTATTTATATGCAATTCACCTCTTTTGTGTCTAAGAAAAGCCACCTGAAGAATCATTTGCTGGGAAATAAGGTCTGTGTGGCTGAAGCAGTGGACACTATGGGCATGGTCTTGCCAAAGGCTGACTTTCTCCGAAGGTCTGTCTGTTGCCCAGAGTGACAGCCACTTCGGTGGGCAAATAGAATGGTCATCTCTCCTCCTGAGGAGACTGCTTCGGGCTGGGACCCCTTCAAGGTGGCTGGCTGTTCATGCTTTCCAGAGGTGGGACTGGAGGCAGAGTGTTTGGTGGGCGGAGGGCTGTAATTCTGAAATCTCACGGTTTTGACTTGCTGTAAAATAGAAAGAAGAGCAAAGGACCATGGGTAAGATACGTGTTCCGTCCTCAACCCTTTGATGATAGGATTTATGTGGTCTCTTTACAGTTGTCTCCATTCAAAACAACTCATTGATATGGAATTCATTCAGCAAGTACTTGTGTCTACTACACATGTTGTCATGACCCTGTCAGGTGCTGTTGATCTGAGAGTGAACAAACCCAAACTTCCCAACTGGAAATACATGTTCACCTTTTCCCTCTCCCCTTTGTTTTTCCTTAAGGTCTATGTCAAGGCCTGGCTCTTCCTCATGGGCTATACTAATCACCCCACTTGGAGAGTCTCATAATTACCTGAGAAATGCTCACCAAAGACCTAGTTCCTAGACACCTGCTGTTGCCATGTAGCCTTCCGAATGTTGACTGACTTCCCCACACATTAAGATGAATATGCAGACCAGCATTCCTTGTGTCTCTTTAAAAGATGGAAGATTCTGATCTAGGTGTGGTAGGTAGCACAGGCATTTGGAGGCTGAAGTAGGGGACTTCTCAGTTTGAGGCCAGCTTGAACTATATAGTGAAAAATCTGCCTCAAAACCAAAATAAGAAAACCCAAATGCAAACATCAGAAAGAATCTAAGAGCTGGAACTCTGGGCCAATTCTGGCAATGCCGGGCTGGGCTGAGAAATTGCTCCCTTTTTATTAGACTGTGTCTTCAGCTTGCTTTAGCCTCTACCTCACTTTGCTTCCTCTCGTGCCTCCTAGGTGGTTATGTGTCATACTTGGCAATTGCAGGTGTTTGTTTTTAGCCAGTCACTATTCCAGGGCTTAATAAAGTGTTCTTCTGCGCTACTGCCTGGGAATCGCCCCTTTGTTCCATCAAATTCTATCATTTTTTGTCTTTAAGCATCTCCATACTTTCTGATTCTCTCTGTTTCCTGTGGGATCTTGGGACTTGCTAAATGACTTCAGAGTTTGTAAGCTGTGTCTGATGATTGGGGTACTGGACATCTGGGTCATGGAAGAAGCTGAAAGAAGTCCTCCCAACCCCTCTGTCAGTCACCACGACCTTTTCCAAATGCATTTCCTTAAAAGCTTAGCAGGAAAGCCTGGGCTTTCTTATAGGATACAGATGTCAGCTGTGTGGCTTTAGGCAATACTGTCTAACTCCCCAAGCCTGTTTCCTCATCTAAATGAGGATGAAAATACTATCTACCTCAGAGGGTTGTTATCAGGGTTTAATGAGATGGAACACATGGAGTACCGTGCACAGTGTCTGCTAGCATCTTTAGTATTTAGTAAAGGCTTAACGAATAGGAGGGAACACCATCCTGTCTATTTTGAAGGGAATGGGTAATGGTGGGATGGTAGTGATAGAGGTGAAGGTGCTGATGTGGGGGATGATTGATGGATGCGGTGATGCTCAATAAGCTGAAGGCACGTGATGAACATCACATGATTCCTTTAATGTCACTCTTTCCTTTTCATCACCTCTCTTGCTTCGAGAACCTTAGGAAGATCCATGCCTTCTAGAGGAAAAATGTCCAGATGTTAACAGATCTGATGATGGATGCCAAAGAGGTCAAGTTAGCTGTTATAATAATCATTTGATGTGACTTTGATGTGACTTCCATGTGATTAAATTCTCCTGAGTTCTAGTTGTTCCTGCCATCTGATGAAAAAGTATGTGTCGAGCCCTGTGTCAGTACGACACGTATCTTACATCATTTAATCTCATCTCCAAGCCTATGTATGGTCATTATTATTATTTACTTAACATCATTTTGATTTATTTTTATTTTATATATGTGCTTTGTCTGCACATCTGTATGTGCACCATGTGTGTGCTTGCAGAGGTCAGAAGAGGGCATCAAATCTCTTGGAACTGGAGTAGTGGGTGATTATGAGTCTCCATAAGGGTACTAGGGACCTAATCCAGGTCTCTATAAGAACAGAAAGTACTCTTAACTGCCAAGTCTTCTCTCTAGTCCTTATATTATTTTTTCTGTGGATTAGGCAAATAAGTAAGTTATGGCTAAATAAACAAAGCCTCAGAATAGTGAAGCATTTTGGCCAGAGCCTCCTAACCAGGGTGGCAATTTAAATTGAGCCACGGTTTCTCCAGGCTGTCTCTGGATCTCAAAAGAAGCATGTATAAAGGGATGCCTAGCAAGGAGAAGGTGTGCTTTCTGTTAGTGGGATGGAAGTGTGTTGTGTGTGAGGATTTTATTGGAGGCTGCCAGTGTGGTTGCCAATGTCCACCAATATGACAGTGTCATGGTGTGCAAGGCTGGGAGGCTAAAGGGTCAGGCTCTCAATGTCACTCTATACCCAGTGACAGTCATTCCCAATATCGGTCATTCTCAGTGTCAGTCATTCCCAGTGTCAGTCATACCCAGTGTCACTTATTTCCAGTTCAGTCATTCCCAGTGTCACTTATTCCCAGTGTCACTCATTCTCAGTGTCAATCACTCATACTCAGTGTCAATCACTCATTCCCAGTGTCAATCACTCATTCCCAGTGTCAATCATTCATTTCCAGTGTCAATCATTCATTCCCAGTGTCACTCATTCCAAGTGTCAATCACTCATTCCCAGTGTCACATATTCCCAGTGTCACTCATTCCCAGTGCTACTCCATTCTTACCTTTTCGATACCATTTTTTGAATTTTCTGGTTTCACAAGGATGGAGGGTGGTGCAGATGCAGGCGGCTTGGGTGGTGGTTCACTCTTGATGGGCGTTTCTTTGCCTTCCATAATGATGGAATTGCCTGCTGAGTGGATCCTGGTCTTGCTACTTCTGTTCATGCAGGTCAGGGCAGGCTCCCCGGTGGAAATAGATTTAGACCCCATCTCCACCATTATTGGTGTTGGGGAAGGTATCATTCCCTGTGGCTGATAAAACTGGAACTTCTGAGGCCGGATCACCATGGCAGGACTGCACCTGAGGGAGCCCACCATGAAAGTGGGGATCCCTGATTGAACTGGTCTCTGCAGAGATCCATCTGGGAGATGACAGAACAGGTATCAGCAATAGGATGGATGATATCATTTTGCATTTAGGCTGCAATGTGTCCTGATATTCCTGAATAGATAGATAGGTGCTTTCCTAAAGTGACTGTGCTTACTCTTTCTTAGAGTCTTTCAAAGGTGACCTATCTTTATTTGGTGTCATTTGGGGATGCTAGCGAGGGTAACAGTCTAGCTGAATGCTGTGTGAGGTGTCTGAAAGTATGTTGCTTCAATTTACATTCCCTTCTTCTCTCCTCTCTGGTCCTTTCCCTCTCCTCTCTGGTCCTTTCCCCTCCCCTCCCCTCCCTACTCTCCTCCTTTTCTCTTCTTCTAGTCTTTTAAGATGGCTAGAGAAACAGACACAAAATTTCACAGTGAGAAGCAGACAGGCCAGAGAGGAAGAAGCAACCTAAGAACACAAAGTGAGCAGGCAACAGAGAAGGAAAGCTAAACAGGGAGAAGACTACAGTCTGCCTACTGAAGAAATTGCTAATAGACATGTTAAGCAAGTGAGTTAGGACAGCATCTGAGAGTACCACCTGTGCTCATTGCCCATGTTTATTTCCTGCTCAGTGAACATTCAGAACCAGAACAGAGTGTGGATTGCATCTTACAAGATACACAGACAAAGGGCTCCTGAAGTCACCTACTGTTTACTGGCTAGCATTATTATGTGAAGGAAAGCATGGTGTGCCTGTCCTAGCAATGCAAAGTCTGACAGTGTGGGTCTGTGTCTCACTGAGACAGTCCTTCCTCCAAGTCCTCCCTGAGAGGCTCTAAGGAGGAGGTCCCATCCCTTAGACATAAATCCTATAGGTGACCAAGGGAATAGGAGGTTCCTTGTCTTTGGGGAAGATTGGAAGTTATCTCTGTGAAGCATTGTGGGACATCTTTCAAAGGATATCTAAGCATTTAGAGAACCATATATCATCCATGATGGTCTTTCCTGACACCTCTTGGACACGTGTGAATCAGTCATTTGTGTCTAGTATAGAGGGCCCGGGCCAAGTCCACACTATTGTGGTTATAAAGTTCCACCAAGCAGGAAGTAAATATGGACAATGAGCCCAGGCGTGCCTCAGCTGCTTGCTGCAAGCATGTTGCCATTTGCTGAGTTTGACCTTTGCATTTAGACATTTGCTTTTTTTCACTGACAGCCCCTTGAGTGGCATGGGCCTTTGGGGAGACTGACAGCTTGACCTGTGTCATCTTGGAAAAAGAGAGAAAGGAAAGGGTCTGGAACTAGGGAAAGCAAAACACCACCAGGCCAGTGTGTCCTTAGCTCTGGGGTATATTTGGGAAATTTGGCTTCTTGCCTGTTTATCTGGTCAGTTTCCAATTTTCAAAAGATTTAATGCTCATTTATTATGTAGGCATGCAACACAAGCAGTCAAAGCTCCAGGTCAATCAAGACGTACACAGCAATACAGAAGGAGTGTATTAAAAATGTGAGCAGCTGCTGAGTGTTGATGTAGCAAATACTGCAGATAAAATTATCCATGGCCTGAGGTCAGTATTTCTATTTTGGTCAAGCTTCAAAAATGGCATATATAGCTTGATCTTGCTAGCCCTTTTTGTTCTGGGAATACTTTTACTCCTGCCCATCATGTTAAAGCTTTTCTTTAACAACATAAACATGTTGGCAGCCAAAGTACATGGCTTGAAACTGAAAATGGTCCCCCAGACAGAGTTATTAAATTAACAGGCTGGCAAGCCAAGGACGGGTAAAATTCTGCACAGAGCCTTACCAACCTAAGACAGAAATGCATTGCTTCTGATAATGCATATTCCCATGACAGGAAGGGAAGGCATTCTTGTCAGGATGACCTAAGATAGGCTCAGTCTTGTTAATGAAATAAAAAGGTAGAGAGGTGGAGAGCCTTTGGGGCTGCTTGGCAAGAATCTGACATAGGCCAAGGACAAGAAAATGGGCTGCTTGGCAGGAATATGACATTGGCCAAGGACAAGGAAGTAGACTTCAAGCGGAAATCAGACATTAGGCCAGAACAAAGAAGTAATTTCAGGCAGGAATCTAAATCTTAGGCTAGAACAAAGAAGTATTTCAGACAGGATTCTAAATTTTAGGCTGGAACAAGGAAGTAGGCTTCAGACATGAAAATGACCTTGGGCTAGAACAGGGAAGTAGGCTCAGATACTTTGGTCATCCTGATAAACCCTTACAAACAGTTATCACGGGAGTGTTCACATAATTGAGTTTAATACTTTGCTTTTCCTTTGACTATTTGTGTTTATTTTATTGCTCATTCCTTGACTATTTGCATCTATTGTATTGCTAGACCCTCAACTTAGAACTGACCTTAATACATGCATGTATTCAAAATGGTATAAAAGCATAAAGAAGGAGGGAGGATGGGATAGGAGGTTCTAGGGAGGGGAAATGGGGAAAAGGGATGGCATCTGTATTGTAAATAAATAAAATATCAATAAAAAATAAATAAATAAAAATGTGGGCAGTCATAAGTGGAATGCAGTTCTCTGCATTGTTAAGTGATCTAGGCCGAGGGAACATCTCAACCCCAAACGAGCGCATTCACCATGTAGATGGGCTTGTTTCATTGTAGTAGTAATGAAGTTATTTATTTACTAATAATTAATGTTACTTTAGCAATAACAATTTTTTAAAGGTATTTTTAAAAATGCCATGTTCTTGGGAGCTCATTATGTGGTAAACTCCGTATTGTTATTTGTTATATTTGTCTGTTGGTTAAATCTGATGGGGATACAATGCTCACGCTAGATAACATATGGATGGTGATGAGGTGAGTTGTATTATTTTCATTTTATAAGTGAGGAGAATAAAGAGAGTGGTAACTTGTACAAGGTTGTTACAGTGAATTCTAGGGGGTGGGGGCGGCAGGAAAGAAGGGGCTGAAGGCTGAGGCAGGAGGATACATTTAAGAGACTATGCAGGTTATGAATTGCAAAGACTGGGATACAGGTAAGTGAAGACATATGCTTTCTTTTGATATACATATGTATATGTGTATGTATATATAAGTATTCCCATGTGGCGCACTGTCCCTTGTGCCACTCTTATGTCTGCAATGCTGCAGCTCACGTTTAGTCATTTGTTGAGTTTGTAGGAGAGACTGTAGGGTCAGTTTGAGGGAGGGCACATCCCACACTTGGACTGTGACAGGAAGGAATCCTTGATGTCTTGTACAATGAGGCTTCCAGATTGTTTCTTTTTTTTTTTTTTTTAATCCCCGGGGAAATGTTGAGATACTAATAACAGCACAGTATAAATGATATCTCTGAGTGACTGCTGTGCATTCAGTGTGGATGCTATATAGGAGAAAACAGAAGTCATAGGGCAGTTCATGGAGGGTAACTATCAGGTACCTCTATTAATCTTGAAAACTTTGGACCTGGTGGGTTTAGGATGTGAGTCTTGCTTTTATATAACCTTTTCAAGAAGAATCTCTCTGCATGCATTACACAAACAACATAGTAGAAAACAGGGCCTTTTAACACTGTCTTTAGCATCTCATCTTTGACTCTGAGCCCCTGTCCACACAGGGGTATCCCTAGAACACAGTCTGAGCAGCACTGAGCAGTAATATCAGCCTTTGAGTGGTTTTGAATAAAAATCAGTACCCTTTGGCTATAATCCAATTATAAACTGCCCCTCAGCTTGGTATCACCCCATTCACCATATATGTTTAAGTGGACCTGGACAGTGACCTTCAGGTAGTCTGGGATATACTCCATAAAAGCACTTGGGACTTATTTTTCGCAGAGTCTGAGCTCAAAACAAACACAATGTTTTAGTGGAAAATTTCCAGTGTGTCCCAGTTGGAAGCCCCATCATTATTAGCTCTAGGCACGTACCTCTCCACCAGTACTTACTCTTTCTCATGCTGCTCCGCACTTTCCTAAGAGACCCTTGTCCAGAAGTCCCTGGGCTAGGTGTGCTCCTCGAAGGGTTAACTACGGCAGTGGGCACAAAGACAGATTTGAAGGGTCCACTTTGCCGTGGATCACTTTCTGAAAAGCTGCCCTGGGAGGACACAGAGGAAGTGGATAACGCCCATGTGGTGCAGACAGTGGGGCTCCGGGAATCAGGAAAACTAGATGTCTTTCTAGCTGTTGAACTATTTTTTAAAAAGAGAATAAATGGAAAGAAAATGTTCAGTCAAGAATTCTGTCTTTTTTTTTTTTTGTCAGCTCTCTCATATGAATGTAGCCTTCTCAACTACCCACTCCAATCTGGCTAAATTGATCCCACCTCCACGGACCTTAATAACTATGTCCTGACAGCAAGGAAGGGCTCACAAGGTCCTGGTAGAACTTGCACACTCAGATTTCATTCCTTCGTATGGCCCTGATATCCCCTCATTCCACACTCCTTCAGCCCGATTCAGGGCACATATCTTACATGAGTTTACTGTTCTTTGCTTATTCTGTTTATTGAGTCTGTTTATCCAGTAGTTTTCCCACTAGATGCTGAACACTTTGAAGGTGAAGATTTCTAAGGCTTATTTTATAGCCTCTGTGTTCTGTATGGACTACTGATTAATGTGCGTGTCCACTGGCTGCCATAATGGTTTCAGAACTCCCTCCTAGTAGTTTTGGCTAACACACGATGGGTACTTTCACTGGCCAGGTACTTCACCCATATAGTGTGAGTTTTTCATAAGTGTTTTCTGTGTAGCACTGGTATGGCCATGGTTTAGAGATGCAGAGATTAAACAGACCATACAAGACTAGAGAGAGAGCTTAGTTGATAATGGACTTTACGTGAAACCATAAGGACCCAAGTTTAGTCTCCATCATCCATATACAAAAGAGCCAGCTGTGCTGGTATCATGTCATCCCAGTTCAGGGAGGCAGAGACAGGCAGATTCTCAGAGCTTGCTGGCTAGTCAGCCTAGCCTAATTGTTGAGTTCTAGGTCCCAGTAAGAGACCCTGGCTCAAAAGACACAGTGGATGATTCCAAAGGAATGACACTTGAAGTTGACCTCTGGCCTCCTCACCTACTTACACATAAATGTGGCTTCTCTTACACACACACATACACACACACATACACACACACACACACACACACACACAGAGGGAGAGAGAGACAGAGACAGAGGAGAGAGAGAGAGAGGAGAAAGACAGACAGTCAGAGAGACAGAGACCAAGAAACAGAGACTCATGCTTACTTGTTCAAGCAATTACTGGAAGTTTGAAACCTGGTCTAAGCCAGCTCTCTGTCCTACTTCTGAGCTATACCAACTCCAGGGTTAGTTAGTGAAAAAATTTTTTCACCCGAAATAAATTAAAATGACTGTAGCCCTGAAGTGACTTCATAAGATGCTATCACTTCAGTCTTGGGCTGTGAAATCATGAACAACATTAAGGTTTTATAAACAGCAAGCTCATGGACACTATTTCCAGTTTGAAACCCAGTGGAGTACATGGCAGTAGGTATTACTTGACATTCCTTTCTCTCCCTGTCACTGATCCAAGGCCTGGCATCCTGTTTCCTATGTGCAGCCTACCAATCAGCCCATCACTCTGTTGATGAATAGCCTCTGATAATACTACAGACATAAAGAATTCCACCAAGGCCCTGGTGTAGAAAGTCCTCCTGGTGTCCTACTGCCCAGTAGCCTCCATGGTTTTCTTTAGGCTGTTTCTCCTTGTTCTTCCTTGTCCTCTTTTCCACTATTCAGCTCATTATAAATCACAATGTGTACTATAGTAATGAGCCAGTGCTGTATGAAGGTATGCTTGCTATTGTTTAATGGTAGCCAATGCTATTCAAGAAGCATAGGTTGCCACAGCCTCTAGGAACTGACGTCTGCTACAAAGGACCTTCTAAGCAGAGCTGTCAACCTGCTCTGGTTTCCATGGCATGGTCAATGAAGAATGGAGTAGTTCATCAGTGAGAAAACAAGACTACATTCTAGAAATATAGTCTGGGCACTGAAGCAGCTCTCCAGAAACTAGCTAACACCTTAGAGAGCAGCTGACTGTCTTTTGAACAAAGGCCACTAGGAGTTGCTTGCTGCAAAGTACATAAGCAATAGACAAGATTATTTCCCAAATTGTTTCCCAGCAGAAGCAACAGAAGCAAGGACAGAATGCAGCTAATTAGGTTCAAGTCAGTCTTATTCCAATGGTCCCTTCTCTGAGTGATGGCTTATGGCACCAGCTATAAAGCTCATCACTGGCTTGATTCCAGGAACTCCTGAATTGTGATTTTCCCACCCAGTGCTGACTCCCTCTGTGTCTTTTGGCAAAAAACTTACCACTTACCTAGTGTTTTCTTCCAACATCAAAGCACTTTTCTAACATGTATTAATTAATCCCCAGGAACCCCCAAACTTGAAGACATTATGATCCTTGTTTTCCAGAGGAGACTGGAAGACATTCTGGGCTTAAGTGGGAGGAGTGGATACTCTGGTTTGCTCTGCTAACAGGTCCCTGCGTCCTTTTCTTTCTGTAATATTGGGGCTTATCCTATTTTCAAAGAGAGCATTTCACGCAGCAGTTCTGCTGGGCTTGCCACCAAAACAGTGAAGGAGAAAGGTTGACTCTGGGCAACTTTGTAATGTCTGTGTGGAGAATGAAAGGCCAGGTAGTGATGGCCCCTTGTCACTTTCCTCCACCCATAAGGCACAAAACAGGCATATGTGTCTATGAAGGCTACAGTAAAGAACCATCGTGTATAATTACATAGAAGGGAATTTATTTATTGGGAAGACAGGAGACAGGTGGAAAGGACCTGGAGTATTGATGGTATTTGCTGGCCTCACCATAATGATCTTCAGCTTTTTGTATTCTTCTCTCCCTGGCTCCAGTTTCAAAGTGGAAGGAGGACTGCAAGATTTGCCAAGCTAAACTGCTGTGGTGGCGCATACCTGCAATCCCAGCATGCAGGAGATGGAAGGATGAGGATAAGTGTTTTAGGGTTTCTCTTGCTGTGAAGAGATACCATGACCACAGCAACTCTTATAAAGAAAAAAACTTTTAATTGGGGCTGGTTTGCAGCTTCAGAGGTTTAGTCCATTATTGTCATGGCAGGAAGCATGGCAGTGCAAAGGCAGACATGGTATTGGAGAAGAAGCTGAGAGTTCTACATTTGGATCTTCAGGCAGCAGAAACACAGCGAGATACTGGGCTTGCCTTGAGCATTTGAAACCTCAAAGCCTACCCCTCAGTGACACACTTCTTCCAACAAAGCCACACCTACTCCAAAGGGCCAGACCCACCCCAACAAGGCCACACCTACTCCAACAAAGCCATACCTACTTCAACAAGGCCACACCTTCTAATAGTGCCATTCTTTGAGCCTATGGGGGACCATTTTCATTCCAATCACCATAATAAGTAACTCAAGATGAGCTTCATCTATACAATAACATCAAGGCTAGTCTAGGCAACACAAGACCCTGTCTCATGCATCAACAACATCCAAGAAAGGAAAGCTAGTTGTGGATAGAATGGGAAAGTTGAGGATCACCACCTACTGAGACCACACAGGAAAAAGAGTCAAGTGGATGCTGGTGCTGTTACAAAGGGGTTTGGATGCTGGACAGATGGATGCATGACAACTACTTTGTAAACCTGAGCCTGTTTGTGTCTTTAGGGTCTGGGAGGAGAAGAGACTTCATGAAAGCACAGGATTAGCTGTGGTTAATAGGAGCTAGATATGTTGGTAGCTGGAGTATATGTTTTCAGTATGAGTAATTAAAATGTCCTACTTATTGAATCTTAAATAGAAACTTGTCATTTTGGTCTTTTTTTTTTTTTGAGACAGTCTTGCAATGTAGCACTGGCTGGCTTGATACTCACTATATAGCCTAGCCTTGTCTCAAACTCATGCCAATCCTCTTATCTTAGCTTCCCGGAGTGCTGGGATTACAGGCATGTGTCACAATGCCCAGCTCTGGTCGGTTCTTATCTATAGTTAATCCCTAAACCCTGTCTCAGTTTGTAGGGCATGATGCTTTAAGAGCAAAGGTGTCAGAGCCCAGGGGGCATCTCACATCTCACATCTCTGAGCCATGGCTGTTAGCATCATACACAAAGGAGCTGAAGGCACTACAGAGCCAGCATTGTAACTAGGAAACAGACAAGGGAGGCAGACAGAGCAGAAAGGAACCTTGCATGTGTTGTCTAACCCACTAGTTTCTCATGTAGAACTTGATATTATAGCAGACTAAGCTGACAATGGACAGCATTTTTTCAGTCCTGAGAAACGGGAGGATGAAACTTAAAACAATGGATGTATGGATAGGAATAATGGCTAGCTGTATCTGGCTAGACAAATTTGGCATATATCATCCACTTCTAAGGTTAGTGGTGATAGGAGCTTTCTTTATATGAGAAATATCATCAAAGAAGAAACACATGGATCCTCTCTAACCCAAAGGCATTTTGGGACAGAGGGGCTTGTTTTTGAGAATGCCACTTCCCCATGAGAAATCTATGTCTCAGCCTTGGCATCTCATTATCTGCTAGTGTTCTGATTTCTGTGGACTTGGAGATGAGCATCAGCTTACTGTCAGTTTGTGGTGCTAGAACCCCACCACTCTCTGGCATGCAGCCATTTCACAGGGCTAAACACAGATATGCATGACCTACTTGAGGGCACTGGGTACCTACCCAAGAGAAGACCAAGGAGGAACAATGGAAGAAGGAACATTGGGAAGCTGGAATCCCACACACACAGGGCGACCACACATCCAGATTGTCCCAGAAAATGGACAGCTGTCCTCAGTTTACACTCCTTCAAAATACTCATGTATGGATGGTAAATATATGACCACTTTCATTCATACTAATAATTTGATGATCCATCCTGGACTCTGGGTTAACCATGGTGTACAAGCAGAGATGCTGGCAGTCAGTGTGGGCCCTGGACTATGGGTCAGAGCCCATAGAAAAAAATGTTCCCAGGTCTGGATAGGCATCCTTCCTTGTCCATCACTGGCCCTTCATGGTTACTCTACATTCTTTTTAATACCTTCCAGCTTTGGTTCATTTTATTTGGTTCATTCTGCCATCCATGGCAACTGTTGCAATGACCTTACCCTCTAGGTCTGTCTCTCCTCTTCTTCCTTGAGGATTTTTGCTTCTGGCTTCCTATTAGTCTCCTGGCCCCTCACCATACCATAATGATCTCATCTAATCTCACGGCTTTAGTAAGCATCACAAGACCAGGGCTCTTTCCTCAATGATTGACATGTCTACTTAGTGGCTCACCAGCAGTTTTACTTGTGTTACTAACAGGCACCTCACAGTCTGCTGTAAAGTAAGTGTTTGCTTGCCCACAGCTCAAGCCCATCATCTGCTAATGTTTTCATCACTGGCATCCTAATAAAGCAGACACTCTATTGGTTAACCAGAGGAAAAACCTCACACTCATCTTTAATCCTCTGTCCCTTCCCACTTAATAGTTAATGTCAGAAAACCCCTGATGCCTCTAGCTTTAAGGGATTTGCGGAATCTACAGCTTCTAATTATCACTCCGTATGCTCACAGTGTGATGACTTACCCTCACAGTAGGGTTGGTATGGTACTCTCTTAGCTAGATTTTCTGGCTCTACCCTTTCTTCTCTACAGTTTATTCTCAACCCAGCAAACAGAGAGATTATGGTTAAACATAGGCTAGATCATATTGGTCTTCTGCTCAAAAACTCTGCTGTGGAGTTAAAACCAAACCCTTCATTATGACTTAAGAATTCTAGATGAGTTAGCCCTATTTACCATTCTTACCTCATCTTCAATTGGCCTACCTATCATTTACTCTAACCTAGTCTAGTTGGTTTTCATGTCAGGTACATTCCTACCCCAGGCCCTTTGAACTTGCTGTTCCTGTGGACTGCAATGTTCTCTTCACAACCATCTTGTCTCACTCCAGCATCTCCCCCATTCTCCTTTCTTCTCAGGAAGGCCAAATCCTTATGCACAGATGTAAGTATGTTGTGAGTCTCTCTCTCTCTCTCTCTCTCTCTCTCTCTCTCTCTCTCTCTCTCTGTCCGTCTCTCTCTCTCTCTGTGTGTGTGTATGTATGTTTGCATGTGTTATTTACTAATATTTTTCCAGGTTCAGGAAAGGTATGATATCTGACATTTAGTGAACATTAAGAGACTGGAGAGATGGCTCAGTAGTTAAAAGTTGTTGCTCTTGCAGAGGCCCAGAGTTTGGTTCCTAGTGTCCATATGGTGGTTCATAACCATTTATAATTCCAGCTCCAGGAGATCTAACGCTGTCTTATGGTCTCTGAGGGCATCAGACCTGCACACAGTACACGTACATACATTCAGGCAAAATACGCATAGAAACTAAATCTAAAGAACATGCAGTAAATGTTTAAAGAGATAAAAGCATCAGTTACACACACTTTTAGTTAGCTATTCTTCCAACAAATTCTAGGCATCTTACATCCAAAGTAATGGTTATGATGTCTTATTCCAACTTCTGTCATACACACACACACACACACACACACACACACACACACACACACACATACACACACACAAAAACCCTTTCTTGAGGTGCTTAAGGACCTCAATTTTGCCTGTACTCTTCTTAAATTGGGACCTTCTACCTGGCCAGCCAGCTGTGTAAAGGAAATTATATGTGTTAGAAAATGTAGCCTTTTTTTGAACCCAAGTCATCTAAGTCATATCCCCTCTTCTCTGCTGCCAGTCATGGCCTCTGTTTGGCTCCTGGCACACACATCACTCACATCCGTTGTTTCTCATAGGTTAAAGCAGCCTGTGTCATCAGTTTCTCCAATGCTGCAGTTCTTTCTTTTCTCACCATTATTGCTGCCCTCCTCTGGACACAGGGCCCCACCTAAAGGATGGCCTGCCAAAGTGTCTCATAGAGTTTGCCACTCTCAGGGTTTTTGACCCTCTGACATGTCACAAAGACAGGTTTGGCATGTGACAAGGGCCTCATTGTCTCGTGACTGGGCAGGTGGTGGTGGAAGTTACAACATGTTTGAGATCTGTGTGAATTTATGGGCACAGTGTGAAGAGACATGGCAAACTGTCAGTTGGTGGCATTGATTAGGTATGTCACTGGGAGAGCTGGGACAGAAGGGCTCCTTCAGGGTAACTTGTCTTTCACTTGGGCATGGCTGGACAAGCATGTGTTTGATTCTATGGAAATTTTGCCTCATACTCAAGTGTCCTGAGAACCTTTCTAAGATGCCCTGGGAAGGCATCTGATCACATTTTTCCATTAGTCTCATCAATGGTATTGTTTTGGTGTTAGATGTGATGTGGGAAATGTGGGTCTTGGCCTCAAACACAGCTCTAAGCAAGTCATTTCACTGCATATCAGTGACTTCATGTGCAGAATAATATGTGACAGGCTCTTTGGCATGGCCGAGGCATTAAATGAGGCAAAACTGAGCATTGTGGTCCACACCTGTGGTCCTAGTACCTGGGAATCTGGGGCAGGATGACTGTGAGTTTGAGGCCAACTTGTCTAAGTTCCAGGTCAGCCTATAAATATACGATGAGACCTCTGGGGGGAAAATTATAAATATTTTGTGTGTAAGTTAATGGGATGTGAAGGCAAAAGCTGTTTCTTGGCTTATACTCTGAAACAGACACTGGGTCTACAATCATCGGTTCGATGCACAGAAGGGCTCTGGAGATGTACCTGAAAACGGGGATGACATAGTCGCTTGGAAAGATGCCAGTTTGTCCAGTGACTAAGGAGACACCCCTCAGCCAGCCATCTTGGGACTTGCCCAGAACCCTGATGCCTTCGCCCTTCTTCAGGTCCAGCTCTTCAGGTCCTTGGGCCGAGTAACAGTGCAGGGCCACAAACCTAGAAACACAAGGAGCTGGTAAGGAAAGTGGAGCATGCCTGAGGAGGGCACAGAGCTGATGAAGGACTAAGGGAGCGAGTCCCTGTAGCTCACCTGCCAGCACCTAGCAACACAAATCACTAAAAGTGGAAACTTAAACACACGAAGGCAGACAGAAGTGGAGCGACCCTGCTGGAATGCTGGAGGAGGAAGCAGGCCTCCATCTCTTCACTCCATGTAGCTGGAAATTGTAGAGGGGCCAACATGGGCACTGTGACAATGGGGAACTGGCCTCCAGCAGAGAAACGGCTTGAAGGTCAGAATCAGTGGCAGAGGTGTGTGACAGTCTATCTTAGTGCCTTCTCAGTCCTGTCTGCTGTGGTTCTGAAGACAGAAAGGCTCAGGAGACCAGAGTAATGAAGCAGTCTTTGAGCTAAGAGTAGGGTTTGTTTAACTTCTGGGAACAGCCTGGGGGACAGCTGGGTGCTATAAAGTGTACATTAGGAAGTAGGAGGCAGGGGTGATTATCATTAGTATTTTTGAACGTAATGATTCCACCGATGACTGGTGGGTGGAGGGGAATTGCTTTGTGTCATACAAAAACGAGTGAGAAGAAAGACGCTATTCTAAAGTTCACCCAGGAATCAGGTAGGTGGCATCCAGGTATGAGTCATGGTAGTGAGGACAACAGGGAACAGTGAGGCTAAGCTGTGAGAAGAGCTGCCTCATGAAAGTCACTGAAGGAAGAACTTAATTGCCGTGCTGGATTTGGGGTCACCTCAGCCTGGCATGTCCAAGCTTATGGCATTGTGACATGAGGTTGCCATCTTCAAAATTTATGCCCCACAACTGTATAATTGAGCTTACGATAAACATAACGAAAGCAAAATAGATCTAGTAATGTTTTAAGTTAGCTTATGATTTTGTGTTGGGCTGCATCCTTGACTACGTTTGGTCTCATGTAGTGTGTAGGCTGCAGGTGGGACATGCCCAGTAGTCCTCAGAGATCCTAAGGACTGTGAGAGATCCTAAGGACTGTAAGAGATCCTAAACTCTTTATCAAAGTGGTTCTTATATGCAAGTGCTTTTTCTTACCCCAATCCTGAATGTATGCATGTGTGTGTGTATCTTTACTGACGATATAGCAAGTCAATATTCAACTATGACCCAATATTTTAAACCTGAAGTGAGACAATACCCAATCTCCTAGCAATGTTGTGCTTTCTAATCTGTGTTTTTCTCATCTGCACTCACTACCATTGGTGGAAGAGAAGGAAGGGGCGTTGTTGGCTGTTTGGATGTAATGAGTTGGGCATGGAGACTAGGTGGCAGGGGAGGGTGCTGGGTTGGCTCTGAGCTTTTTACTCACATGTTAGTTGAGAGGTGTTGCTGGGAACTGGGCACACTGACCACGGCTGTGGAATGTCCTGGAGAGGCAGGTGCAGGGTGAGAAGTGCTGACCTATACCGGCAGAGGAGACAGCCAAGAAGAACCAGTGAGCACCACAAGCCAGGTGCATGAACAAGACCCAGAGCTACTTGACACAGCTGAAAACCAACATCTATGCCCAGCACCGCCCACCCCTCGCCATTTCTCTGGTTTGTGGCCTTGGGCAGAGTGAGGTGGAGCAGATATAATATGATCTGGTACACAGGTAGTGTACCACGGCTGGGTTCCCATAGGAGTGTAGCAGAGTATGGCAGGCAGGCTGTCAATGTAGAGCCAGCAGGACTGTGAACTTCTTCTGGCCCACCCTACCTAGGTCTTATCTATGTGGGAAAACCTGTGTGTGGAAAATTGTAAGACAACTAACAGGGACTCAGGACTTAGCTCCCCTGCACACTTTATAAGTGCCTTATAAGTATCAACAAATTTAGTTCTTATCAAAGGTAGTTTATTAATGAAAGGGGACACTGTGGGGGACAAGAGTTATTAACTAGGAAAAACAGTTTAAAATTAAGTCTAGGATATGAGTCCACCTGCTCATTAACTACTGATAGTATTAAAACACATACATACATACATACATACATACATACATACAGACACACACACACATCTTAGCGGGATATTCAATAACTTACAGAACATGAATCTGAATCCCTTTCATTTCTCTCAGATAAAAACACAATAGCAATGATAGAAGCCTCTGAACTCTGCCTACTTTCCTAGGAAAAAAGTTACGCTATAATCTATTATCAATCTATCTATCTATCTATCTATCTATCTATCTATCTATCTATCATCTATCCTTTATCAATCCCCCCTCTCTCTTCACCCCCATGTGTGTATGTGTATATGTGGAGGTCAGTTCTATTTGCCATAATAGGTCCTGGGAATAGAATTCAAAACTCACATCCTCAGGTTTGGCAGCAAGCATCTTTTCCTGCTGAGCTATCTCATCAGACTTTATCTTGTTTTTCCTCCCCCACTTCTTTCTTTTTTGAGTCAGGATCTCTCATTGGGACTGGGATCTTGCTGATCATGCTAGGCTGGCCAGCCAGTGAACCATCTCTGGGTTTGCAGGTCCATACCACTCCATCTGAGTCTTTTATCTGGATTCCGGGGATTGCATTGAAGTCTCCTCATTTGTGTGGTAAGCATTTTAAAGGCTGAGCTACCTTAGAATATTTCCCTGCTTCCCTTTTTAGCCTTGCTTTCTGTCTTAGCAATAAAAACCCATTGTTGCAATGAAACCCCATGAACAAACATCACGTTGGTGAGGAGAGTGTTGATGTGACTTATGCTTTCACATCACTGCTTATCATTGAAGGAAGTCAGGACAGGAGCTCAAACAAGGTAGGAACCTGGAGGAAGGAGCTGATGCATAGGTCATGCGGGGTGCTGCTTGCTAGCTTATTCCCTAGTTCAGCCTGCTTTCTTATAGAACCCAGGATCACCAGTCCAGGAATAGAACCACCCACAATGATGGGGTAGGCCCTAGCCCATAAATCACTAATTAAGAAAATGCCCTATAGGCTTGCTTACAGCCCTCATCATATGGAGGTCTCTTTTGTGCTTGTTTGTTTTGTTTTTAGAGATACATGTTCACTACCTTTGGTTATTATACAGTGCATGTAAGTAAAAAGTTATTGTAATGTACCCTATAAAAACTCAGCCAAATATATCCCCCCCACCAAAAAAAAGTACCACAATATAATATATTCTGGCTCACTACATACCATACACTAGTCTCTGTCTGTCTGTCCATCAGTCTGTCCCTCTCTCCAACTCTCTCCTGTTAAAGAGTACACTGGCCTAGTTGGGTGGGTTAAGCCAGGCAGGAATGAAGCACATCCCCTTGTGCTTCATGTTTCAGCTTCATTCATTTTAGATTGTGTGTGTGTGTTTGCATGTGTGTGCGCATGTGCATGTGTCATACATATGTGCATGTGTCTGAGGAGACTAAAGGAACATGTGGGAACCCTCTGGAGATGGTGGCTATGGGTTCTCCATAAGAACATCGAAAGTTCTTAACCACTGAGCTATCTATCTACTTAGTGCAAGCATTGTCTTGAGGTTTCCTCATCTCAAATGACTTTAGCTTGTGTCAAGTTAACATGAAACTATCCAACCCAATCGACCTCTTGTCAACTTGACACACAAGCACATCACTGTCAAGCCACAACTTTCCCTTTTTACTTCATCCCCAAGATGAGACATTATATATCAGAACCACCACATAAAACGTTTTACAAACTTAAAAAGTCTCACTGTCTTTACAATTTTGTTTTTGTTTGTTTTTCGAGACAGGGTTTCTCTGTGTAGCCCTGGCTGTCCTGGAACTCACTCTGTAGACCAGGCTGGCCTCAAACTCAGAAATCCACCTGCCTCTGCCTCCCAAGTGCTGGGATTAAAGGCGTGTGCCACCACTGCCTGGAGTCTTTACAATTTCAAACACTTTAAATTCATTCTGCTTAAAACATTCAAAGTCTCTTATAAAGCCTAAAATCTCTTTCAAAATTTAGTCTCTCAGGTGCAGGATACTGTAAAATCAAAAATAAGTTAAACACACTCTTACTTTAAGAGAGAAATACCAGGACACAGTCACAGTTAGATGAAAGCAATGCCCAGTATCTGGGTTCCCACTAAAAGCTTGAGTCTCTTCTCTAGCTCCAGCCTCTGTATCACACACGGCTTGTCTTCTAAGCTTGGGTAGGATGTACTTCCCACTGCTGCTCCTGTTCTTGGTGGTCATTCCATGGCAGTGACATCTCCAAAATGCTGGGGTCTTCTGCTGCAACTGGGCAGCACTTTAACCAATGGGCTCTCTTCATGGTAATTAAATCTCAGCTTTTTTGTATGGCCCTTTCAATCCTGGGCTGTCAACTGCAACTGAGGCTGCATCTTCATCAATGGCCTCTCCTGGCCTCTCATAGCACCAAGACTTAGCTGCTTTCCATGAACCTTTCACGCCTTCAAAATAGTACCACCTGAATGACTCTTACACTACCAAGTCTGGCAACCAGCTTGAGGTACAACACAGCTTCTATGTGCTGACTTTCAGGAAACACTTCCCAGAAGAATTCCCCTAGTGATGATGGTCTTTCCTTAATCATTACTAATTTCTCAGCTTCAGCTGACCAGCATCAAGTATCCCAGTAAAACAGAGATGATTTAGTGGTTCTGCTCTCCTGTTAACTGGGGCTTATTCTTCAGCCCCGGCTGAGCAGAACCACAGATCTTCACACAAAAGGCTCTATTAGAATCTTTGCTTCCCTTTGGAACTTCATAAACCAGGCTGCCATCATCTGCATGCTCTCCACATTTTTATCTTCCAAGCTCCTACAGAACATCCCACTGAGCTCTCAACACTCAATGGCTCTCTAGCCCAAAGTTCCAAGATCCTTCCACAATCTTCCTGAAAACCTTGTCAAATCTGTCACAGCAATACCCTATAGCCCTGGCATAGACTTCTGTCTTAGGGTCTTATTGCTGTGAAGAGATGCTGTGACCATGGCAACTCTTAGAAAGAAAACATTCAATTGGAGCTGGCTTACAAGTCAGAGTCTAGTTCATTATCATTATGTTGGGAGCCATGGTGGTACTCAGGCAGAAATGGTACTGAAGAGGTAATAGAGTTCTACATCCAGATCCGCTGGCAGCTAGAAGAGAGCAATAACTGGGTCTGGTTTAGGCATATAGAACACTAAAGTCCACCCCAGGTGACACACTTCCTCCAACAAAGCCACACCTTCTTGAACAAGGCTACACTTCCCAATGCCATGACCTAAGTGTTCAAACATGAGTCTATGGGAACCATTCTCACTCAAACCAGCTTTCCCTACTCCTGCTCTCATCTCTGCTGTGTGGTCTTTTTGGCCATGCTGTTTCTGTCATTTATTTCTCACATCTTCTTACTTCTATTTTCTATAAAAAAATCTAAATCATAAATAATTACATACACAGCAAGTGTAATTTTATGCATCACTTATGTAGTAGTATAAGTGATGCGTGTTGTATCTATACCAGTAAACTCAGAATATAAGTAGTAATAGAATATTGTGCAGCTCTCTGCATCTTCCTCAATAACCAACCACATGGCTTCCCTTCCTCTAGAGCAACAAAATAATTTAATGGTTGGGAGTTGTGGTGGTTTGGAGATGCTTGGCCCATGGGAAGTGGTACTATTTATTAGGAGGTCTAGCCTTGTTGGGATAGGTGTGACCTTGTTGGAGGAAGTGTGTCACTGTATAGGCGGACCATGGAGGGCTCCTATGCTCAAGCTCCACCCAGTGTGGAAATGAGAACCTCCTTCTGGCTGCCTTCTGATCAAGGTGTAGAGTTCTCAGCTCCTCCAGCACCAAGTCTCCCTACATGATAACATGCTTCTCACTATGATGGACTGAACCTCTGAAACTGTAAGCCAGCTCCAGTTAAATGTCCTTATAAGAGTTGCCTTGGTCATGGTGTCTCTTCGCAGCAATGGACACCTAACTAAGGGGTCCCTACATCATAAGGAACTGTATGAAAGTGTCACAACATTAGGAATGTTGAGAACCACTGGTCTAATCATTGTGCTAAAATGTGTGCTAGTCATCCCAGGGCTTTTTGTGTGGTTTCTTCCACTCTGTGCTTTCATAAGAAAGCACATGGGGCCAGAGAGATGGCTCAACGGTTAAGAGCTCTGACTGCTCTTCCAGAGGTCCTGAGTTCAAATCCCAGAAACCACATGGTGGCTCACAACTGGGATCTGGTTGAAGAGAGTGACAGTGTACTCCCTTATAGAAAATAAATAAAGCTTAAAAAAAAAGAAAAGAAAGCACATACAGTAAGCATATTCAGTGACATGGAGTTTTGCTGGGTATTTGTGGTTTCTGTCTCCTATTTCATGGCAGGAGTATACCACCAAGGGACTAGTCTGTCGCTTATCTGTCATTTGGGTGGCTTTTAGTTTGGGGCTGTTATGAACAGTGTTGGTATGAACATTCCTGTACATGTCCCCTGTGCCCATGTACAAGAGTTTCTCCAGGATATACACCTAGGAATGGAATTGATGGGCCGTAGGGTACGAACCTGTTCAGTTTTATTAGGTAATAACAAAGTGTTTCCCAGTGTGGCTGTAACAATTTACAAGTCTGCCAGCAACAAATGACAATTCCTGTTATTTTAGAGTCTTGCCAGCATGAGGTAACATGCTCTTTAATATCTGTTCATGTGGTGTATGAAACGCTAACTCATTGTGGCTTTACATTCATGCCTGTGGATGCCAACGGATTTGAGCTTATCCTTTTTCCCTATTTTCAAATGTTTACTGACCATTCTTAGTGCATGAAATGCCTGTTCCAGATCCTCTGTTATCCTAAAGTCCTTGGGTTATTTATTATTTTCTCATTAAGTTGTGGAATTATTATTTTTAGATATAAATTCCTTGTAGCATATATATATATATGTATATATATATATGTAATTCTGTGAGATCTTTTGATGGACAAAATTAATTATATAATATATTCCCACACAGCACTTTTGAAAAATCTTAGCTAAAATGTCTTTTAATCTCAAGATTGTGAGGTGTGCTTCTATGTTGCCTTTTGAAAGCTTCACAGTTTCACCTTTCGTATATACGTTCCTTAGTCCACATGGAATTGATTTTTGACGAGGGAGGAATCCAATTTCATCCTTTCCCCACACAGATACCCAATTAGCCCGTGTCATAGCTCATTCTTCCCATGTGACCTGTGGAGATTTTTGCCATAAATCACATCTCCACACTGTCTGTTTCCAGGTTTTCTAGCATGTTCCATTGGTTTAAAAGAAGCTGGAGCTAAGTACGAGCCAAGTTAGTGACTGCTGTTTTAACTTAAGATGAGTGATATCTGATCAGTGAGCAAGTCACTCCGAATAAACCTCACCCTCTCACTTTAGAAGTCATTTGGCCCCTGGCTTTTTAATGTTGTGTTTGAACATTAGAATTACCTTTTGCATTTCATAAAAACAAACTCTAGAGCTGTTGAATTTGGGGGTACATTTTGGGGGAGGTTAACAACTTTAAGATATTGAAATGTGGGTGTGGTGAGATTGGAGGAATATGACTGAAGGCCAGCTCTGGCCTTTCACCTCCTATCTCCTCTTCCCAGAGGCAGAGCTCATTCTTCCCTTCGACAGTTTGCCATAAATCAGGTCTCCACACTGTCTTGGTTCTAAGGTTTCTGGCATATTACATTGACTTAAAAGAAACCAGAGCTAAGTCTCGTTCCTTCTTTCCTTCTTCCCTCCCTCCCTCCCTCCCTCCCTCCCTCCCTCCCTCCCTCCCTCCCTCCCTCCCTCCTTTCCTTCCTATTGTACTTCCCTGTTGCTCTGGATGGCCTGGAATGGGAATCATGCTGACCACCTGCTTCAGCTGCCTCAGTGATAACGCCTGTGGGCTACCACACCTGGGTCAGACACCATTTAAAGAGAGATACTGAGTTTTCCTGTCTAAAAGCCTGAGACATTTCACCATCTATTTTGTCTTTTTTTTTTTTTATCTTAAGAACTGCAGAAAACTTGACACAACAGTGCCTGTCCTTAATTCCAGCATTGGGAAAGCAGAGACAAGAGGATCAGAAGTTCAAGGTCACATTCTACAACATACCACATTCAAGGCCAACCTGAGCTACATGAAAGCCCATATCAGATAAAAAGAAATTACACTATAAAGCCTGTAACTTTACTTTGCACCCAGTTCTTGGGAGGCTGAGGCAGGAGGACTGCCATTTGAGAGCAACCTAGGTTACATGGTGAGTTCCAAGTCAGCCTGAGGTAAAGAGTTAGACACCGAAAACCATAAATAAATAAATATAAATAAATAGATAAATAAATAGTAAAAGAAAATTACCTTCTTCATTTTCTTTTTGGTATATAGACATGCAGCTATGTTCACAAATGCTGTTTTGATACTAGTAACCTTGATAACAGCATATCTGTTCTCAGTGTATTATTCTGTATTCTTTTGCATTTTCTATATAGACAATAATATAGTATTCATTTAATGACTCTTTTCTTCAAATATTCAATCTTTACTTCTACTTGCTTAGTCTATTGGCCAGGCCTCTAGGCAGGGTTAACCAGAAATATGGCAGGGTCTCGTTCTAACCTTCAAGGGCCCAGCATTTCACCATTAAGCAAGATGTTTGCTGTAGGTTTAGACAGATCCCTTTCACTGAATTGTATTAAGGTTTTTATTCCTCGCTTGATAAAATTTCTAATGTATAATAGATATAGAATTCGATGAAATATTTCCATATGTATTATTTTTCCACACTATATTTCCTCTATATGCTTTAGGATGTTACATAGGCTTTTTTCTTTAACTACTTAACATGATTTATTAGTGTAATTACTTTTTTTCCTTTTTGTTTATTTTTATTTTATATGTATGGTAGTCTTGGCCATGTATCTATGCATCATCTGCATACTGTTCCCTCAGGGGTCAGGAGAGGGCATCAGTTACTATGGAACTGAAGTTACAGACAGATGGTAGCTACTATGTAGGTGCTGGGGATTGAACTCAGATCCTCAGTAAGTCATTGTTCCAATCCTGTGTTTTTATTTTTTATTTGTAATATAAAGAATAACCTAGGCTCCATTAAATACGCAGAGCTTTTCTTTTCCTTTCCTTTCCCTTTCCTTCCCTTCCCTTCCCTTCCCTTCCCTTCCCTTCCCTTCCCTTCCCTTCCCTTCCCTTCCCTTCCCTTCCCTTCCTTTTCTTTTCTTTTCTTTTCTTTTCTTTTCTTTTCTTTTCTTTTCTTTTCTTTTCTTTCCTTTTCATGTTTGGAAGAGTTTAAACACTATCTCCTCAAAGTTGTGAAAGCACTTAAATAGACACCTCTCTGGGTTTTTGTTTGTTTTGTTTTTGTATGTGTTTTTTTTTTTTAAATTCAATTACCTTCCTTCCTGTCCATCCTTCTTTCTTTTCTCTCTGAAAGGATCTGGCTATGTAGTCCTGGCTGGCCTCAAGCTTAAGATACCCTCTCCTGTGTGCTGACTCATTTGGTCAGGTATACTCCACCCTTTGCCTTTGTTTTTCTTAGGCTTTTCTCAGCCATGTTTCTACTGCCTTTAAAACAAGATTTGTGTCTCAGGATAGAGAGAGTGGCTACTATAGTACATTTGAAAGACAAAGGCATATTGTTCCTTAATTATAATCTTTGTCCATTTATTTATCTATTTAATTCATTCACTCACTCATTCATTCATTCATTTATTCATTTATGTATTTATTTGTTGTCTTTGAGATAGGATTTCTCTGTGCATTTCCAGCTGACCTGGACCTTGCTCTGTAGACCAGGCTAGCCTTGAACCCAGACGTCTGCCTGCCTCTGCTTTCTGAGTGTTGGGGTTACAGGTGTGTGCCACTGTCGTCTGGCCCATTGTCTACTTAAAGTATTATGATTTATAATGTAACCACATTTCATTAAGCAATGTACCTGCTATGTCTATTTTTAGTTCCCCTACTGGTATTTATTTACCAAATATTATTGCTAAGGATCTGTGAAGTCATGAGGATTTATGACAGGGTTATTATTCTCACACATAGGGTAGACTATGTGCTAATATGCCATCTTCCTGCAGCAGGATCTTGTCTTCACATTTTCCAGACAGACCAATCTGAAGATGTGATGTGTCAGAACATCTAGGGAACCCCATGATTCACCCACCCCTGACCCAAACAAAAGTACCCTGTGTTCTGAGAAAGTAGCTTTTGTGTTAGAAAGAGTGGTGTCGAAGTACATATTTCCAACGGAGAGCTGGATGGACATGAGACTACAACATTGTTTTCTTAAAAACTGGTTTTGAGTTCAGATCCCTAGGGAATGAGACTTTTCTGTTACTCTTTTACCATGTAACCCCAGGCAAGTGGATCTGTTTGTCCCTGAATTCTTCCATTCGACTTGGTGTACATTAATAGATTTTTCTGTGATGACTTGTCAAGAGTTCATAAGTCTTAGAGTCTCACTTCAGGAGAGATAGTTGGGAGGCAAACTAATGTTAGCTAAAAAGAAAAGTTAATTGAAAAAGTTGTTTTGGAGAAATTCAGAGAGCCCAGAAAATCCTTTGACAGTACCAACTCCATCTTTGTCATCTTTACAAAACTGACTATTTACATTGTATCTATTGACTCAGGAAAAAAAAAACACTTCTCTAAAGTTATTAGAAGAACAAAGGAGATGATTTTTAGGAAGAAAAGAAATCAGGTATGGTAGTGCATGCCTGTAATCCAGCACACGGGAGGTGAGGCAGGAGGAGTGTGATTTTTGAAGCATCCCTGTACTACATAGCAAGATGTTTTCCCTCACCCCTGACCCCATCCCCCCAAAAAACAAAAACAAACAAACAAACAAACAAACAAACCAGAGCTCCCTACATTATCGAATCAGTTGTCCCTGTTCCCTTGGGGGCAATTGAGTTCCCTCAGTAAAAGTAAGCTCATAGACTTTGAAATCATAGACATAGCTTTCCCGTGGTAATCTGAAACTGCCTGATACCTTCTTGGTGTCAGGACAGCTTTCCTCTTTGAATTATTTAATGGGAGACCATAAGAAAAACACCCCATACTTGGGCAGAGACCTTGGTTGGTCATGAAATCTTTCCATCTTTTGAAACTAATAGAGAGCTTGGCACCAAGGCCCATCAGCTTGTCTAGAGACAAGCCTGGGGTATACATATGGAAGGACTTTTAGCATTTTCTCCAAAGCTGCCTCTTAAAGTCTCTTTTTGAATGCGCGAGGCTGGTTTTATGCGACTCTGAAGTGTAGGAAAAGCCCGTTCTTCACATTTCTAACTGGGTTTAAGCAGCTTGAATTGGCTATTCCACAGGCCCACAGTCTCTGCCTCAATGGTCCAGCCTGTGGCAATTCTGCAGGTAAATTTCTGCTGTCTTTTTTTCTGTCACTGAGATTAGTACAAAAGCTCAGAGCCCAAGGCTCTTTGGACAAGGGCTACTTCTCACCTTCCAGAGTTCTTCTGTAACAGATAGGAATAAGGACAGCCTGAGAC